ATTAAAGAGCAGGATACACGTATGTCTCAAATATCAACGCAAATGTCGACACAATTTAAAGAGCAAGATACACGATTATCAACGCATTTGGAAGAGCAGTTCGTAGCGCAAGATGCACGTATATCAGCACAGGTATCCTTACAGTTAAAAGAGCAGTTCGCAGCGCAAGATGCACGTATATCAGCACAGGTGTCCTCACAGTTGAAAGAGCAGGATGCACGGATATCGCAAGTGTCCTCACAGATTTCGGAAGAGCGGGATTAAATTAAAACTGAAGTGGATGAATTGAGAGATCGTCTCCGTGAGCTACAATTAAATCGGCCAATTATGCCGTCAGCTTCTGCCAAGGTAAAACCACCATCCTTTGATGGCACTGTTCCGTTTCACGTTTTTAAGCTTCAATTCGAAAAGACGGCATCTTCAAATAATTGGAACGTTGAAGATAAAGTAGCTGCATTGTTCGTTGCATTAAAAGGATCTGCATCGGAGATTTTACAGACCATTCCAAACTGCGAGGCGAGTAGTTATGAAACGTTGATGGGTGCATTAGAAAGACGGTATGGTAGTGAGCACAGGAAGCAGATCTTTCAAATTGAGTTGCGAAATAGCCGCCAGAAAGGCAATGAGTCTCTGCAGGAGTTCTCTACAGAGATTGAGAGGTTAGCTCACTTAGCTTATGCACATAAATCCATGGAATACATCGAGGACACGAAAATTCAGACTTTCGTCAATGGAATACGAGATAACACTACACGATTCGCTGCATTAGCATGTCAAAAATTGACGTTTGCAGAAACCGTTTCGTATGCTCTGACACAGGAAACTGCATCTCTGCTTTGCAATCAAAATCAATTTAAAACTCACAAAGTAGAAATAGAGGAACACACTTGGGTCAACCAATTACTTGAAAAAATGGACAACATGCAGAAAGCACTGGAAAATTCTACGGAAGCGCATAAGAAAAATGATGGTGTGCTTAAATGCTTCAACTGCGGAAAAAGTGGCCATATTGCACGCAACTGTAACCAGCCAAATAATCCAGTTGGACGTAAACGCAAAGCTGAGGAAGATCAAGCAAATGTTAAATCAAATCAATCGTTAAACTAAAGCGAGCCAGCCGAAAAGGGCACGGGCTGGCTCCCGCAAGCAAATGCCCTGTAATCTCCATTTCACAAATAAGCAGGAATACGAGTAACGTTACCGTTAATGGATGTGTAGACGGTAGAAAGCGCATACTGACTGTGGATACGGGCGCATCACATTCCATAATTCGATCTGATCTGGTTGAGAAAGAAGTGAGACCGTTAGCTGGGGCAAAGTTGCGTACTGCAACTGGAGAAGATACCCTAGTTCTCGGAAAGGTAACGTGCGAGATCGTAATTGGAAAGACAGCCGTGTTACACAATTTTATAGTGGCAGATATCGTTGACGAAGTCATAATTGGAGTAGACTTTCTAGCGAATCAAGGAATCAAAATTGACATGAAAAACAGGATTATGTCCTATGGAAATATGGAAGTGCCACTTATGTTCGGTTACGATAATAAGTACAACGTTAGACAAGTGATAACAAAAGAGAGCCAGCAGATTCCACCAACATCAGAAGCAATTATTTGGGCAGAAATAGATGGAGACTATGGGTCAAACAAGTGGTGGACTGTTGAGGCCACAAAAGAGTCTACACCAAACTTATTCATGGGCAAAACCCTGGCTATGACAAAACAAGATAAACGTGTTCCAGTAAGAGTACTTACCGTGATAAATTGCGAAATAGGTCTTGAGGAAGATTCCATGGACGAAAACGATATATCGAGCTAAATTAACGCATGGACCGAGGAACTAGAGGCAAACTATCAAACTTCGGCTAAACAACTTCTTCTCAAAAACTCATCCATATTTGATAAAGATGATGCAAAACCAGGAAGAAACAAAGTTGTGAAACATTTTATTAACACAGGTGATGCAAGACCAATCCGCCAGGCTCCTCGAAGCGTTCCTTTAGCAAAACGAGAAGTTGTAAACCAGACCATACGTGAAATGAGCGAAAGCGGCGTAATCGAACCATCAGAGAGTCCGTGGAGCTCACCTGTAGTACTTGTGAAGAAGAAAGATGGCAACATGAGATTTTGTGGGGACTATAGAAGGTTGAATGATGTAACGAAGAAAGACAGTTATCCACTACCTAGAATCGATGATACACTCGACTCGTTATCAGGCACAAAATGGTTCTCAACACTTGATTTGAAAAGTGGTTATTGGCAAGTGGAGGTAAACGAAGAAGACAAAGAAATGACGGCTTTCAGCGTTGGAGATGGTCTATGGCAATTTACCGTAATGCCCTTTGGATTATGTAACGCTCCTGCTACTTTTGAGAGACTTATGGACCAGGTATTAAAAGGATTACACTGGAAGACCTGTTTGGTATACCTCGACGATATCATCGTGTGGGGTAAAAGCTTCGATGAACACCTTAAGAACTTGGAAGAGGTTTTCCAACGGATAGCTAGCGCTGGTCTGAAGCTGAGTCCAAAGAAGTGTTCCCTTTTCAAAAAGGAAGTAAACTACTTAGGACACAAAGTGACAACGGAGGGCATTTGCACAGTTAATGAAAAGATCGAGGCAGTAAGAGATTGGCCCACTCCTAAAAATTTACATGAATTGCGGAGTTTCCTTGGACTATGTACTTATTATAGACGATTCGTTCCAAATTTTGCCAGCGTAGCTAGTAGCCTCCATGAATTCACGAAAATGAACAGAGTTTTTGAATGGAATAAAGAACAGGAAGTGGCTTTCCAAACTCTGAAGGAGCGGTTAAGTACTGCGCCAATGTTGGCATACCCGGTCCCAGGATCAACGTTTATTTTGGATACGGATGCTAGTGGATTTGCAGTAGGAGGCGTTCTATCGCAAGTCATTGATGGACATGAGAAAGTGGTTGCGTATTACAGCCAGACCATAAGCAAACCAGAGAGAAATTATGGTGTTACTCGGAGGGAATTACTGACGTTGGTGAAGTGCATCAACCATTTTCATAAAAACCTTTATGGCCAGCGATTTCGGGTGAGGACAGATCATGCAGCATTAAAATGGCTTCTACAATTCAGGAACCCAGAAGGACAGTTGGCACGGTGGATTGAGAGACTCCAAAGTTACGACTTCTCTATAGAAAATCGCAAAGGTAGTAGTCATGGCAATGCTGATGCCATGTCCCGCCGTCCCTGTAATCTGGAATGCAGACATTGCTCAAAAGCTGAGGCCAAAGAAGACATTAAAGATGTCCGATTAATGACTATAACATCAGACTGGAATCCGGAGGAGCTATGGAAATGTCAGCAAGAGGATGCAGATTTGAAAAGCGTAATACACGAATTGGAGATGAATAAACGTCCAACAAGAGAAGAAATAGCTGCAGAAAGCCCAGTCGTAAAAGCTTATTGGGCACAATGGAATAGTTTGAAGTTAGTGTCTGGCTGCTTGCATCGCGTATGGGAAAGCGAAGATGGGCAAAGTTCACGAACTCTGATGATTATTCCAAAAGTAAGAATTCCTGAAGTTCTCAAGGAACTGCACAACGGTCCAAGTGGAGGACACATGGGTATCACTAAAACCTTGGAGAAATTAAAACAAAGATTTTATTGGGTTGGTTGTCGTCAATCAGTTACGGAGCGGATAGCCAATTGTGTCGAGTGCATTGCTGCTAAAAGGCCGCGGTCCAGGAGTCAATGTCAGATGAAGCAGTACAATTCAGGTGCGCCGTTTGAGCGAGTAGCCATCGATGTGGCTGGTCCTTTTTCTATTAGTAAATTAGAAAACAAATATGTTTTGGTAGTCATGGACTATTTCAGCAAATGGCCAGAGGTATACGCAATTCCTAACCAAGAGGCAGGAACAGTAGCGGATGTATTCATCAACAATTGGGTATCGAGATATGGTGTTTCAATATAATTACATTCTGACCAAGGAAGAAATTTTGAATCAGCTCTAACAGGAGATATACCAGAAGCTGGGTATCCGGAAAACCCGTACAACTGCACTACATCCGCAGTCCGATGGCATGGTAGAACGATTCAATCGAACTTTGAAAGAACATTTGAGGAAAGTTGTGGACAAGTATCAGAAAGATTGGGATACCCATATATCCTTGTTCCTGATGGCTTATCGGTCTGCTGTACATGAAACAACGGGCCAGACTCCAGCAAGGGTAATTTTTGGTAATGATCTTCGACTACCAATTGATTTAAAATTTGGAATTAACGCCAACGGAGGAAGGAATACTAAGGAATTCAATAGCATCCTAGAAGACGAGATGAGGGATATACATGCTATGGTGAGACAGCGCACCAAAATTATGAGCGATAAGATGAAAGCAAAATACGACAGGGCAATAAACTCTGATGGTTTTGTTGAAGGCGATTGGGTATTGTTATATAACCCACAACGAAAGAAAGGGCTGTCTCCCAAATTACAGTGTAATTGGGAAGGACCATACCAGGTTATTAAACGACTCAATGATGTAGTGTTTCGCATACAGACCATTGGAAGACCAAGGAATAAAATGAAGGTGGTTCATCTGGAACGGCTTGCAGCGTTTGGTACCGCAAATATGTCTAATCGGGACGATCAGACTTAGGTAGAGGGCAGTGTGGCGAACACAAGTACCAGAACAAATTAGAATTAACGATAAACTGCCAGAAGCAACTAGACAGCGAATTCGTAGTTGCCAGAATGTTCTAGTAGCGAACTTTTGTTAAAAATTTACTATATAAGGGCTGCCGGATCGTGCAGCAGACACAGTTCTAATTAGAGTGTTACCGTGTAAAGAGCAATTAAGCTATAAGCAATAAGATGTAAGTTCGAATAGCGAGCAATAAGTGTTAAGTTGTTAGAATTGGGAATAAAGATAAGTGTATAGCATTAAATTGGGACTTTAATTTAACAATCCAGTGATCGAGCTCAAGAGTGAGGTATAGTTAGACGATTTATCGAGAAATCCGTTACAGTATAAGAAATAAATAGACTGGTTTGGTTGATAAAAGAGTTCGTGTGTGAACTGGGACGTACGAAGCATGTGCTTGATGATAATTGTGGCACATCTCAAACTTGATAAATCAAAATGATTTATAAATGTCAAAAGTATAAACAACTGCTGTTCTTGGTAACAAGAGGGAGATAAGAATTGAATTGCACATACATTTTTTTTGGGTAACTGGAGTTAAAAAATGCGTGCTTCTATAGTTCGTTGGAGTAAAGTGTCTCCAAAATTAAAGGAGCTACGTATACATCTTTGCCAAACGGGTGAAGCTTCAAAAGGTGTAAGGTATGCTAAGATAAAAAGTTCAGTGTTATATAATAGTTGTATTTGGGTGACACTTTTCTACTTAAGTCTTTGGGTGATACTCAAAATTTATGTTCTAAAGAAAAACTGAAATGTAATGTAAGTGAAACTGGTACTATTTTTCTTTAAAATATTGTTAGAAGTAAAAAGTCGGGTTCGGCTTTCGTATACCATTAAATTATTTTAGGGTTAAAAGTGGTATGCTTGGATACAGGAGATTCCTCAAATTAAGATTATATACAATTATAGCCGCCGAACCGATAGTTTTCGAGATATTTGCATTTGAAGTTGAAAATTTGCCTAATTTTATCTTGCAATTTCTCGTTTCAAGTTAATTTTTCTTGTATTTATTGACCACGCCAATTGGGAATATACATAATAAACAAGTAAGGAAGTTCTAAGTTTGGGTGTAATCGAACATTTTATACTCGCAACTTGCAAGGACCAAAGCCTGGGAAATTACTTCAGGTGTTGGCGAAATTTTATATGAAAGGAAGTATTGATCTGATTCAACCCCATTTTTGACACAAAAACACTATTATCGAGCGTTTCATTTATCTATTTTATTATATAAATTTCATTTATATATCTTACAGATTCACCGATATATTCGATAAAAAGACAACTATAGGCACTGGGGACTACATATTGAGCTTGCTTTTAAAATGGTGTTACATGGGAAATAGTCGTGGTTGTAGTTCGATTTCCAATAAGATAGAAATATGAGAAAAATGTCACGTACCGAATTTGGTTGAAGTCGGTTAAGCAGATCCGTAGATATGGGTTTTCAGTGGGCGGTGACATGCACACTAATTTTGAACGCGCTGCCTATACAGTCAACTCATACCATCCGAAAGATAAAATTTAATGTCTCTGGCATGTACAGTGCTTGATTTATCGCGCTTTTAGTAGTTTTAAACAGTACCGTTATATTCATCCATTTGTTGATAGAAGTGCGAAAAATATTTGTTCTCAGTGAATTTTGTAATTATAGCTTTAGCGGTTTAAGAAATATGCAGATTAAAACTATTAGGGGGCGAGACCATGCCCAATTTAAAAAAAAAATTTAAATTGCAGATGTCACTTCCTAATGTGATCCTGTATACCAAATAACAGTCTTGTATCTTATTGTAGAGCTTAGTTGTAGGAATTTATTCGTTTTTGATTAATGGCGTTTTATGGACGTGGCAGTGGTACTATTACGCCCATCTGCGTGTTACGGTACCAAGAAATATTTTTTTACCAAATTTCATAAAGATATATCAATTTTTACTCAAGTTACAGCTTGCACGGATGGACGCAAAGACAGTCGTCCGGATTTCAACTCGTCTTTTCATCCTGATCACATATATATATATATAACCCTATATCTAACTATAAGTTTTAGGTGATACAAACAACCGTTAGGTGAACAAAATTATTATACTCTGTAGCAACATGTTGGGAGAGTATAAAAATATGTACAAAATATAGATAGTTATTTGAGGGTACTGTAGAAAAAATATAAATATATACAGGGTGCTGTAGTAGCAGTTACTGGTGGGAGAATTGCATAGAATAAAATCTTATATTATAGGAGTAAATGTTTCTTAGTATTATCGATTAAAGCAGTGTATGTATCTCCATAGAAGACAATTTCACCCTGAAGTGAATTTAGCCAGTATATGTTGGGGTTCAGGGATCACATAGTTTTTCTTGGAGTTGGAAGTTTTTAGTATTCGATTATGTCTGTCGACAATGTCGGGAGCATTAATGGTGTTAACAATTTTGTAGTAGAAACTGAGATCAACAACCTGTCGACGTGCAGATAAGGTGCGTTCGGGCTACGTAATAATTGCAGCAGTACAGCAATTGTGTAGCATATTTGCTGGTACTCTACTGATGTGCAAGTAAAAATTTAGTGTTTCCGATTATTTGCATAAATTGCGAGCAAAAAGTGACAGTGGAACGTGATGCTGTCGAAAGTTTTGCCAGAAATTCACGCAGAACGCGATACTTTAAAAAAATTTGCAACACTGCTGTCGTGATTGCCAGCTCTAACGCACCCATAGTTTGCTGATGTTGTTGTTGTTGTTGTAACGGTTACCTAGTCCCCGTTTGGGTGATAAATTCCAGATTCGTCGAGGTCATCTAACGGGAGGGAGGTTGGTCAGACTGGGAGTCATGCTGTCTGTGTGAGCTCCTTAGGGCCGTGGAGGTCCTATCTGGGCCACTCGACTGGAGTGGTAGCGCAATCAACAGCCGTTGAGGCAGATCGCATTATTGCGTTGACAGCATGGGGCCACGTAACTTGTGGTCCACTCCCTGTGTGTCTTAAGGCCTGAACAGGTCTTAAGATGGCTCCATCCATTGCATGCATTGCACCTAACCGAGGTGGAGTTTGGATGAAGCCTTTTAGCGCAAACGCAGCAGTAAAATTCCTCGGGGCCCGGGTTGGTCTCGATGCCAGCACGGGTCAGGAGGATACGGAGCAACCCTGCTGCTAGGCGTTGCTCCAATGACGACAAACTTAATCTAAAACTCACCGATCCAAACAGGGTTAGATCGCCGAAATAACAGCCCTTGGGCGGATAAAATCCGGGTCAATTCCGGTACCGCAGAACCGGCTGTTGTGGGAATTGATAGTTTGTTGATGTTAAACCGTTGATGTTAAATTGCTCTTAGATCTCGGAAGTGGAGTAGGTGTGACTTGACAATTTATAAGCCAGTGACTTGCAGAATTTGCGTTGGACCTTCTCCACTTTGTCTATCATTACATTTGAGAAAGGGGACCAGACTGACTTCCGGGAGACACACTGACAGCTCCCCCAGGGACCGTCGGAAACCTTGTGGAATACTGCAGAAGGAATAAACTGCCCTCATCCTGGGATGCAACGCCAACGCTCATCACACGGAATGGGGGAGTACGGACTGCAATACACGGGGTGAGAGTCTACTTGAATTTATAGTCAGAAGGAATTTATGTATTGAAAACGTGGGGTGCGAACCCCTTTTACTCCTTGTTACTAGTGTAAGAAAGGAGGTGCTTGACATCACTCTTGGTAACGAACTTACGGCAGGGGTGATCGGGCAATGGAGAGTGTCATCGGAACCCTCCATGTCAGATCACCGTATCATAACATTCGCACTAGGGGTAGAAGTCAGGCTTGAAATAAATGTCAATAGGAGGGGGCAGCTGGACGGCAGTGCTACTGCTTCTGGACTAGAGAGGAGGTTGTCTACACTAAACCAGTCCATTATAGAGGCATATAATAGCAATTGGCGGTCAAGTAGGCTCTCAGAACTACGGAAAACGATACGCAAGCTATTTAACAGGGCTAAGCGTACTGGGTACTGGGAGAACTACAAGTTCAGCCTAAGGCATACAACAAGGAGCTTAGGTCAGCAAAGCAGAAGAGCTTCAGGAAATTCTGTGAAAGCGTCTCCTCAACGCCAGAGGCTGCATAAGGCTCTGGCTAAAGGCAAGACGGACAAAGTACTAGCAATTAAAAGATCGGATGGGACCTATACGTCCAGCGTAGAGGAAAGAGCCACGGCTCTTCTAGCTGCGCACTTCCCGGACACAATTCAAGAAGACCAGATTCGTTCTATGGTCGAACGAAAGCCATCTCGCTTAGATTGAACAGTCGCAAAACAGCTCTATACTGCAGACTCCATCAAGTGGGCTTTGGCATCCTTTGAAAAATATAAGTTCCCGGGTGTGGATGGCATCCTTCCAGCGTTTCTGCAACAGGGGGAGCAGGTCCTACTGCCCCACCTTGTTCGGCTGATGAGGGATAGCCTAGCGCTGGCATATATCCCAGAACCTTGGCGCACTGCAGAGGTGATCTTCATACTCAAGGTAGGAAGGAAAGACTATTCGCTGGCAAAATCCTTCAGCCCAATAAGTCTAACTTCCTTCCTACTTAAAAGTATTCAAAAGATCATTGATCACGAAATAAGATCGAAGGTGCTGAAGGCTGCACCGCTACACGGGAAGCAGCATGCTTGCAGAGCAGGCAGATCAACCAATACTGCTCTGTATCAGCTAACCTCTGAGATCCGAAGCTCGTTAGATGGGGTGAGGTGTTGTTATGCGTCTTCCTTGACACTAGCACTGGAGAAAAGGAGTGTGGCGGCACCGGTGCGCAGATGGATTGAGACACTCTGCGATATTGTACAAAGGGGATTGGGGCTGGCTTGGGTTTCCAAAGCATCGCAGACTTCGGTAGGACTTCGACTATCGAAGCTGCCCCTACTTGCCTGTATCTGCTCGTCGGGCGCGATGCGTTCGTGTCAGGAATGGAATGATTCCACGCTGGACCTACTGCTAAGGGATAGCACTATCAAGTGGTACACTGACGGCTCGAGAGAGATTGGTGCAGGGGTCGCAGGACCACGCACCAAGTTCTCCATTCCCATGGGAAGTTTTCCTAGCAATTTCCAGGCGGAAGTATATGCTATAAGTCGGTGTGTAGAGATAAACCTCCAACGCAATAAGATTATCAGCATACTCAGCGATAGTCAGGCGGCACTAAAAGCGATCTCGGCTTTTGAGGTCAAAATGCTACTAGTGCAGGAGTGCATAGAACGGCTGAACAGCCTATCAGAGCACAACCGAGTGCACCTTATTTGGAAGCCTGGTCACAGGGATATAGCAGGATAAGAACTGGCTGACGAGTTGGCCCGCTCTGCAGCCTTCACAAAAATGGTAGGACCAGAACCGTACATAGCGGTTGGTCCACACACCATTAAAGAGCTGAAATAGTAGTTCATACATGATTCAGTTATACGCAGAGGTGTATCACCGATTGGGTCAATATGAGAAATATAAATGGGATAACCATTTTCTCCACGACATATCATCAAAGGATATTGTAAGCTGTTATAAGATCTGTGTAACACTAATTTGATTTTTCATTGTAAGCAACATATGCCTTTCGTCCTTGAATTTCAATGCCAAGCAATGTCCACACACTACTGACATAGTACCTATAGATACTATACGTTCTTCCTTGTAAGAAATCGAAGGATCGTAATTCATGGCAGAATTTTTTTATTCACCCATGAGTTGGTAACTCGAGTTGATAATTCTCTGGCTCTCTGTATTCGATGTCTATCCCTACCTCGGATGCGGTGAATCTCACGCTCTACTGAAGATTCCCTATTTCTCTCTCTTAACTCTATATCTATCCCGAAGCTGACTGAGTCGAGCCTCACGCTTTACTGACGATTCTCTGTCTCTCTGAACCGTATGCCTATCTCGATCCCGGCTGTGGCGAACCTCACGCTGTACTGAAGATTCTCTCTCTCAGCTCTATATCGATCCCGAACGTACTCTTCTGGCATTCACTGTACTATGACCTATGTTCGTCTTGCAGACATTACTTTATAAATTCTGTACGAAATTTACTCTGTTCTATATGTATGATTACCTAAGTTATTTTTCTGGACTTACATAGCTCACCTTAAATTACGATTTTTGAAAATAATTTCCATAACATTAAATTGATTTAACTCTACATTTTAACCAAGATCTTAATAGAAAATTCCAATCCATTAGTTATGGTTTTATTTAATATAATCTTATTTAACATTATGTACTTATAATTAGCACGTTTCATTAAGTACTGGTATTTTGCTCGCTAGAGAGCTCCGATAATAAACGCGTCCGATCGCTACTAAATATACATAGGGATATAGGCACAAAGAAAGCACCTTTATTTTATATATTATGTATTGAAGCGTATGTATACTTTTATGAATCTATTTTTATTGTATTGCATAAAATCTACAATATATATAAATATTCTTTCAGTTTTTGTTTTCTTGAAATAAATTGATGTGCTCCTTAAACGAGAATATTTCTTTTTTTTTTTGTTTTTTACTATTTTCTGTACACATGTTGAAGAACTGTGTGTCATACGTATACATTTGTGAACATGGGAACGCTTTTTATCGCTATAAACTTATCCATATATACTACGTGCTGTAGCTCCAAAGCTGAAAGCTATTATTTCAGTTTAGTTAAGTAATGGATATATACCTACGTATTTAATTTATTATACTTATTTATATTAGGTAGTTAAATGCTTGCTATGTTATATCCTTAATTAGAGTTGCATTTATAAATGCGTCTAAATTTATGTTTGTTTAAATATAGATGCTATGATATAGATATATGTAGATATGTATATTACTTCAATAATTATGACAAAGTGTACATAAAAGAATTATATTCGTTGCACTTGAAATAATGGCTGATTCTTATATAACTTTTGCTTTGACAGACAAATTCGATGTACCATATGCTGTTGTATCAATTCGTTCACATAGTTTAAATGCTTTTACAAACAACAGACCCCACTTTTGGGTTTGTCGGAACCCTATAAAAATATATATAAATAATTATCGTGACGAGCTAAGTTGGTTTAGCCATGTCCATCCGTGTGTTTATACGCGAACTAGTTCCTCAATTTTTGAGATATCGCTCTGAAATTGAACACGTCCTTTTCTTCCCTCCGAAGGGCTGCTCATTTGTCGTAATTATTTCACAAGAAACGAAATTGATCATGGATTATTGTCCAAGACAACGCTACAATCTCCAAAAAAAACTGTTCAGATCGCACCACTATAGCATATATGTAGCTGCCATAAACTCTCACCGATAACCGCTACAACAACAACAATATATCAAAATCAAGTTTTTGTATGGAAACTTTTTTAATTGTGAGGGGTATTCGTTTTTCTTGTTATTACTTATTTCTGTATGTACTCAAATTTAATTTACCGAATCTGATTATACTGCGGAAAATAATACATGATATTAGTAATATTAAATTATATTGTAAAGTTGGCACGCAAGGAATTAATATGAATCGTTATATAAAATGGGCAATTCGACGATCCGGTTGACTTTATTGGTTAATATGTTCGAAATTTTAATTAAATTAAGCGGGAATGTATTCTTAATCATGATGTGATTTAGCGCTGAATACGTGTATGAATGAAATTAATCTAGATCTTGGTCTGGCCTTAATACTCCTAATTGTTTTCGAATTTAAATTTTTTTCGCGTTTGCGTACTTCGTGTTCTACCATTATGAACTAGAGTTCACATAGAGCTACTATATTCCCTACTCTAGAGCAGTGGTCGGCAAACTTACACATTCAAAGGATTTATATTTTATCCTTTTTATACTCTCGCGATCTGTTGCTACAGAGTATAATAGTTTTGTTCACCTAACGGTTGTTTGTATCACCTAAAACTAATCGAGTTAGATATAGGGTTATATATATATAAATGATCAGGATGAAGAGACGAGTTGAAATCCGGGTGACTGTCTGTCTGTCCGTCCGTCCGTCCGTCCGTGCAAGCTCTAACTTGAGTAAAAATTGAGATATCTTTATGAAACTTGGTACACATGTTTCTTGGTACCGGGAGACGGTTGGTATTGCAGATGGGCGCCATTAGTCAAAAACAAATAAATTGCCACAACAAAGCTCCGCAATAAGATACAAGACTGTCATTTGGTACACAGGATCACATTAGGGAGGGGCATCTGCAGTTAAATTTTTTTTTTAAAGTAGGCGTGGTCCCGCCCCTAATAAGTTTAATGTGCATATCTCCTAAACCGCTAAAGCTATAATAACCAAATTCACTGAGAGCAAATGTTTTTAGCACCTCTACCTACGGTGTAAAAATGGGTGAAATCGGGTGACAAGCCCTCCCATATTACGGTACTGTTAAAAAATACTAAAAACGCGATAAACCAAGCACTAAACACGCCAGAGACATTCAATTTTATCTCTGGGATGGTATGAGATGACTTTATAGGAACCGCGTTCAAAATTAGTCGGTGTGTGTGGCACCGCTCACTTTTAGGTGAAAACCCATATCTTGGGATCTGCTTATCTATGTCATGGTGCAAAAATGGGCGAAATCGGATTACACCCACGCCTATTTTCTATATGACACCATTTTAAATTCCACTTGATTCTTTCACTTTCCACTATGCAAATCAAGCAACAATGATTATATCGGGGTAAAACTTTGCGTGAATAATACGTTTAAAGTATGCCACCTTGTGACCAAAAATTGTCTAAATCGAACCAAAACTGTTCAAGCCCCTAAGTACTAAATATGTGGACCCCAGTGCCTATAGTTGACCTTCTACCGAAAATATCAGTCAATCCACAAAGAAATCTCAAACGAGTATACCATTTGACTTTGCGAGAGTATAAAATGTTCGGTTACATCCGAACTTAGCGCTTCCTTACTTGTTAAATTCTGATTTTGTAATATTTTTAATTACTATTTTGAAATAAGTTTAATTTAAACACAAAATCGGATTTAAAAAATGGAAATCCAAATTTTAATAAAAATGTCGCAACCCTGCTGTACTTATATTTTTTTTAATATTCTGTGAATATTTTTTCCTCAAATTTAGCTATACAGTGTTCTTTTCATTGTTTATTTTAATACAGACCACACTTTCCTATATAAATACATTAATAAAATGCAATTATATTTTAGAGAATACGTGGAGAAATTTTATCCAAACCTTAAGAAGAATAACCCAGAATTGCCAATTTTAATTCGAGAGTGTTCAGGGGTTCAGCCGCGATTATGGGCACGATATGGTAAGTTCATGATATAGTAGAAACTTTATGTAAATTATAATTTTTTGTTCATAGTTCTAGGTAAAGAAACTTCCGTTCCATTGACAAATCAATCAGCACCAGAAATTCAAAAGCAAGTAGAAGCTGTAGCAAAAGCGTAAATTTTATATATTTTTGACTACAAGCCAAAACTGTGAACATATGTTTATCGTAATAATAAAATATAATAAAGAAACGTCACACATCTAATTTGAATTTTATTAAGCTCTTGTATAAGATAAACAATATAATTTTTTGGTTTTAAATTATAACTTAGCCAATTATTGGAAAAGGCGGCAAGCCAAAATCTTCGGGATTAAAATCTTCTAAAGACTTCAACACCTGAGTTGCTCCCTTGTGTAACTCTTCCGTTATTAGTTCATCTGGTACCATCACAACTTGCATCCCTGCTTTTAAGGCTGCCTGTACGCCATTTGGGGCGTCTTCAAACACAAGACAGTTTGATGAGTCAGGTTTATCCGAGAAACGAGAAGCAGCTATAAGAAATATGTCAGGAGAAGGTTTGCCTGCTTTAACTTCTGGGTCAGTAGACCCACAAACACGATGATGAAAAAGTTCGAATATGTCGCGATGATTAGTAACTTTTATTTCAACCATATGCTCGCCAGAACTAGTAGCCAATGCTATGGGAATCTTATTAGCATTGAGATGCCTCAGTAATCGCTCTGCACCTAAAAAGTATATAAGAACACACATTGATTAAAGCGATATTTTATACATATGTATGAAAATAATCATTACCGGTGATAAAAAAATTTCATAATGATTTCTCTCAAAGTAAAATATATATAACTGCAAGAAATATATAATTGTAGTAAAAGGAATTACTTTACATACACATGTATGTAGATGGAAAAACTTAAAAATTATTGTTTTGATAAAATAGTGGTACAAAGACGTATGTTTACTATTTCGAAGTAGTTAGAATCAGTTCAGTATAACTCCCGTATTTATGTAAACTTATATGAACTTTCTAGACGTTAATATAATATAATCAATGTAATATATTATTGTATTTACAATGTGAATACTTTTATGGACAAGGTGTATTTTAAGGCAAAAATGAGAAAATAATTGGATTTAAAGGTATTCGTTTAAATTTAGATTCATATGCCCGTTTGGGGCTTTGTATACTTTTTCATTAAAACGTAGTATATGTACCTATAATTAACAGCATTATAACTGAGGGGTTATACGTATTTCATTTTATCAAATGCTGTCAATTTTGTAAACTTGCATAATTCATTCAACATTGTTTGATTATTTTATATTTTCATATATCAATGATAAACTAAGAATTAATCAATGGGATAATTGAATATTTAACATTTATGTGAATATTATTTTCGAACGGCTATTTTGTGCATATATATTTAATGCATGTATATTTAAATTTATATAAAATAGTAAAATATTTTAAAAATAGTAAAATATTTTAAAAATAGTAAAATTAAGCCTTGTTGCATTCTAAGAAAACCGAATAATATTACTTTGTTTGTCGAGGAGCTTAAAACTTGTAGGACTCAAATTTCTGTCACACATAATAGATCTTGACAAAAAGGCTGGCAAATATTACATACACACATACATTTCGGATAGAAAATGTCAGTAAGTCAGTCTTTTTTTATTAATAGGAGCTAAAGATTAGAATATTTATCTTATCTGAACACTGCCTCATAAAAAACCATCGTTGCATTTGCAGTTTGTCAAGAAACACTTTACACGCTGAATTAAAAGTTTAAATTTTGACTTTAATTGAGAAAATTACAAACTTTTGTTTAGTTCAAACAAATTTTTTTAAAGAAAAACTATTATATTTTTGAGTTTATTGCAACCAATAAATAAATATAAATTAATTAATATGCACCAAAAAATTAATATGAACAAAAACTTAGTTTACACATTTTTGACACTGTCAACAAACTCTTCACACATTCCGCTTAACGATTGTGTTTTGCTCTCGCTTTAAGCAAAAACGGTAATTAACCGTTATCTATGCTTTCTGCAGTGTATATTGTTATGCATCCTTTGAATTTAATTTTATTTGGTTGAAAACCTGCTGTTTCAAAATTCCCGATAAAATATTAATATTTGAGGTAGTTCAATTGATTTACTACAATCACAAGTTGGGCAAATCTGTAGCGGAGTTGGTTGATATGTTTTCTGTATCTCAAAAAACAGTTTACAATGTCATAAGTCGCGCGGAAAACCAGGGCAGATTCGAAGCAAAGGATGGAGGTGGTCGTGCTTAATGTGATCCGGTAGAACATTAGGATAACGTCATATTTTGTGACGAAACCACAATTATGCAGTATTAAAACGATGGCCCAAGCAGAGTATGATGCAAGGCGTTAACTACGCTTGAAAAGCAAAACGTCGTTCCAACATTAAAATTTGGAAAACTGTCACTATTGATTTGGAACTGTATCTCCAGCCGAGGAGTGGGGAATTTGATATTCATAGAAAACACTATATATACAGCATAGTACCTCCAAAATTTGGATACACAAGTACAGTGAAATTTGGCTTTTCCAACAATCAAAAGCCAACATCCAAATATCAAAACAATGATCCAAGTCATAAAGAGCTTCAGGTACGGGATTGGCTACCTTCTAACTGTGACAAGATCATTGATACCCTGCCCAGATCTTAACCTCATCAGCAATTTGTGGGTCTATCTAAAGAAAAAGTGGCAAAATGAGTTCAAAAATCGAACAGCAGTGATGTCTGCCATACTCGAAACGTGGCATAACATCCTATTGGAATATGTCCTACCAAAGATGGTGCATTCAATGAAAAACCACCTGCAACATGTTAATGGGGGGTCACACCAAATATTTAAATTAGCTTTAAGTTAATATAATAAGTCATAAATTTAGAATCAAAAATAACTACTAAATTTTGGGTAAAGAGTTTCTTGACAATGTCGAAAATGTGTAAATAAAGTTTTTTTGTTTGCATACTTATGGATTTTTATACTCTCGGAACCTGTTGCTACAGAGTATAATAGTTTTGTTCACCTAGCGGTTGTTTGTATTACCTAAAACTAATCGAGTTAGATATAGGGTTATATATATATAAATGATCAGGGTGAAGAGACGAGTTGAAATCCGGGTGACTGTCTGTCCGTCAGTCCGTCCGTCCGTGCAAGCTCTAACTTGAGTAAAAATTGAGATATCTTTATCTAAATAAATTGATTAATTAGAGTTTTATTTATCTGATATATGCAGTATGTATTTAAGGTTACACGCGATCGCTGCCGTTACAAAAGACGGCGCGACCGCTTGAAAGTTAAAGTCAAAATTTTAATTTTTATTTTAGTGTGTAAAGAGTTTCTTGACAAACTGTGTATTAATATTCAATCAAAATAAAACGACCGTTGATCTAGTCTCCTATTTGAAAACGTCTTATATGATCTAACCTTGCATTAACGGAGAATTCCCCAACATTTCTTTACACTTATTTGTAAATCTTTTCAGGTATTCCTCGACAGTTATGGGCAATTCTAGTTCATTAACAGCAATTGCAGCCGATTTCTGCTCGGTTGTGCCAAGCATTTTTACCCGCACATCACGTGGGTAAGACTTGTTAAAAGAGCCAGCTATTTGTCTTACAATTTCTTCATAACCCACTTCAGTATCTAGAACAAAAAAAAAAAAAAAATTAGATGACTAAATTTGGATTTACCTGGCATTAATTCAGCTTCTGTCATTAAAATTTCTGTTCGCTCCCGTTGTCTTTGTGCATATTCTTCCCAGCTTATAGGTAATTTATAAGCAGCAACTATAGCTTCAGCAACTTGCTGGGTCTGCAACCCCATAACACTTACTTTAACGTCCCAAGTGTAAGTTTTACCGTATGGATCCAGAATTTCCTGAGTAGCTTGCGAATACAATTTTTCCGTATCTAAGAATTAATAAACCAAAAAATAAATTTGGGGCTTCATGATTCAAAATTCTAAATTATTCGGAGCATGATTGTAATTGTGAACATATTATGTTATATTAAATAAGAGAAGTTGATTAAGGCTGTGTGCCAAACGGTAGAAAAATTAAAATTCTGGCAGCTGAAAGTGAAATTTTGACATTTTTCGTGGTGAATCCAAATGTCAGAATTTTACCCAGCTCAGAAGCTTATTATATTTTTAATAAGGAAAGTTCTTGCCTTCTTCTGTATTTAAGTAAGAAGTAAAAATAATATTTTTGTAGTTGATTAGCTGATCTAAATCTACATATATTATTGTAGAAAAGTCGAAAGAAAATTTCATTCAATTAGAAGAGTATGGTCCGCTTTAGAATATCTATATGAACATGTCGGGTTGTAGTAGATATATTATATGTATGTAAAAAACATATCCCATTGATTTTTACTTGTTGCAGTAAGATGTCATAAAATATGCAAAATAAAAAATATATGTATGTATATAATAAACTTGAAATCAATAATATGAGTCCTAACAAGAACAACATTGAAAAAAAAATCGGGAGTTTGAATTTTCACTTTTCAGAAAATATAAACTAGCACATATTTTGTTAATGTGCTGGAAGATATACTAAAATATGTAATTATTAAGTGAATATAAACTGTGTCTTCAAATATTTATATATAGACATAAGTATTAATGTATGCAGATCAAATGCAAATAGTCTAATAGCGGGCTAACACGTTGCCTAAAACTCTTAATTAATATCAAATCTTCAAATTAATGCATATTTTTTTTTGATAGTATCTTTAATAATTTAATTGCCAAGACGAAAACTCAAAGGACGCAATTGCGCTATCAAAATTTTACTTTCCATTTGGTATAGCAAAATGTAAAATTTGTTTACACAATAGGAAATTGTACAACAACAACAACATGTTACCGTTTTGCACACAGCCTAAGAGTAGCTCACAAAATAATAATACTTGCATATTTTTGATTGATATCCATACGAGAAATCTGTAGCTTTACTGATATAAACAGTCATTATTGACAGACATTGTATATCTATTATATATTACATAATTCGTGTTTGCTTTAGTATACTGTCCCAGGCTTTCGGGGATAAAACGGGTATGAACGGATAGAGATAGACGGAGGATCTCTCCAGATCAAGAATATATATAGATATAGCCGCGGGAAACTTATAGTTTTCGAGATATTTACGTTTAAAGTTGAAAATTTCAACTATTTAAAGTACGTATTTTTGCGTTTTTTTAAAATTAATTATACACTTTTATTTTTCACTTTTATATCCACTAACACTTGACTAATCCGTGCAAGCTGTAACTTGAGTAAAAATTGAGATATCTTTATGAAACTTGGTACACATGTTTCTTGGTACAGTAAGACGGTTGGTATTGCATATGGGCGTAATCGGACAACTGCCACGCCCACAAAACGCCATTAATCAAAAACAAATAAATTGTCATAACTAAGCTCCGCAATAAGATACAAGACTGTTATTTGGTACACGAGATCACATTAGGAAGGGGCATCTGCAGTTAAAATTTTTTTTTTAAGTGGGCGTGGTCCCGCCCCTAATTGGTTTAATGTGCATATCTCCCAAACTACCAAAGCTATAATAACAAAATTCACTGGAAGCAAATGGTATTAGCACCTCTACCTACGGTGTGAAAATGGGTGAAATCGGGTGACAACCCCGCCCACTCCCCATGTAACGGTACTGTTAAAAACTACTAAAAGCGCGATAAATCAAGCACTAAACACGCCAGAGACATTAAATTTTATCTCAGGGATGGTATGAGATGACTTTATAGGAACCGCGTTCAAAATTAGACAGTGGGCGTGACACCGTCCACTTTTAGGTGAAAACCCATATCTTGGGATCTTTTTAACCGATTTCAACCAAATTTGGTACATAACATTCTTTTTATATTTCTATGTGCGAAAATGGGCGAAATCGGATTACAACCACGCCTATTTTCCATATGACACCATTTTAAATTCCACTTGATTCTTTCACTTTCCACTATGCAAATCAAGCAACAATGATTATTTGGCGTAAACTTTGCGTGATAATACGTTTAAAGTATGCCCACCTTGTGGCCAAAAATTCTAAATCGAACCAAAAACTGTCAGCCCCTAGTACTGAATATGTGGACCCAGTACCTATAGTTGACTTTTACCGTAAATATCGGCCATTGTGTAAGATATACAATTGAAATTCATATAATAGAATAAATAATGAAACTATCGATAATAGTATGTCTTTGTTTCAAAATGGTTGAATCGGATCAATGTTCTTGTAGCCCTCATATATCTAATATAAATATTTTTGAACTCCGCTGACTTTATACCGCATATGTGAGTTATCTCAATGGAAATAGAGAGCGTGTTTACTCATAACAAGATCAAATCGGGTGAAAATTTTCCTTAGCCCCCATGTAACTAATTATCAGGATTTTCGAACATTCGTCTGACTTTACTCCATTTGATTGGTATGGTATGTGAGGTACCTTAATGAAACAGTGGGAGCATTTTATTAGTCTGTGGCTATTATAGTATGTGGTATTGGAAAAATTAATAAAATCGGTTAATACTACCCTCAAATTCCATTATACTACTTATAATGCTTTTCGTTATTCTAACCAGTTTTTGCCGAATATGTCGGTCAGTGAGTATTAATATTTTTATATATAAAATTGCTTCAAAATATGTTCTCGAGTATAACTGAGCAATGTCAAAATTAATATATTTCTCTCCCAATATATATATGATTTCCTCTTTCCACCTGACTTTACACCGTTCCGGTGATCAACGTGATATTTTAACGAATTAAGTGGAAAAGATTTCTTAAAAATTATGTGGGTTTGACGCCTGAATTAGAATGAAATTAGTATATACTAAGTCTAAACCTCACACCTTCATATAAATGAATCTCGATTTCTCTGGTTGACGTTTGCCACCTAAAGCTAATAATATAAAATTTAGCCACTTTGGTGGAGTTATATCACATTCATACTTATGTATCTCACTTCAAGCAAAAACTGAGACTAAGTTTATGGCCTTAATATAAGTCAAGAAGATACCAAATTAATTGTAATCTAATCATGATATCATTTAATAATGGATGTTTAATTCAACATTTTTAATATACGGTTTGGAGGAATTTTCTGGTCTTTGATTTTCCCAGCTCACATTGTACTACTTATGGTATAATTTTTTTCGTATTTGATAATTTAATGAAATTAAATGGACAGTTTTTTCTAAATAATGTATATCGCTGCATATGAATGAAATTGGTCTAGACTTTGTTTAAACCTTATAACCCTAATATACTGATTTCCGCTCCTCTGGTACAACATCTACCATATATACCCCACACATATACCATGTTTGAGTTAAATAGCTTTTATAAAAGTTAAATTTCGGAGAAAAATAGTATTGACACAAAATTGAATCTATGATCCAATAAACATAAGTTAATAAGATACCAAATAATAATCGAGTAATGAATGTTGAATTCTTTCGCAACATTTTTATACTTTCGCAACATGTTGCAACAGAGTATAGTTTTGTTCACCAAAGAGTTATTTGCTTCTCCCAAAGTGATAGATATAGATTTCTATATACATATATTCTTAGTTAGGTTAGGTATATTTTCTCAGCCATCATGTTGAACTTATTATAAATTATACCAGACAACAATGCTAAAAAAGTGCATTTGTATAGAGCAAAAAAATCTTTCTAGAAAAAATACAGTGACGAGCAAACCGTATTATATACAGTGGCGAGCAAACACATATACAGTGCACCAGTATACCATAGGAACAGAAAAGGACTTACAAGGAATTACAGTGAAAGAGAGCAGCACCTAGGATCCAACTTTTAACACCCGGCTAAATTATATAAATATTATCTATAAGTATTTTATATATTAATCCATTTATTATTGTAATTAATTATGCCTAGATTAAATTAGAAAATCTACATTACTAAGTCGTCTTCAGAATGAAGACATATGATTCTTCATTAAAAATGCTATATATAGAGATAGTGAGTAGTCACAAAATACTGTAAGTCATAATCGTAGATTAGACAGATTCCGATGTACGTCTATAAGACAAATTATCAATACAAATCAACGCATAGAACAGGCAGGAAAGTCTCAGTACGGTCTTTTGAACCAAAATTTAAATACTATTAAACATAGAAGACAGGCGGCAAGACCGAGCTTCAGTCTATTGAGCAGCAAAAAGTTGCAAATACTGTTCAACATATACAGAACAAGGCAAGATCGCAAATTCGCTCTGAAGAACAGCAAATAAGAGATACTCAGGTCATAGGTCAGCGTAGAAGACCGAGTTCGATCTGTTAGGCAAGTTGCAAATGTTCAGCTAGCTTATAGAACAAGGCCTTGCAAGATCTAAATTCGCTCTGAAGAGTAAATACAAAAATACTCAAAGGGTCATGGGGTCTCAGCATGAAGACCCGGAAGGTTCGATCTATTGGTAGATTGCAAATACTGTTCAACATAGAACAGTGTAAGTCCCAATTCGCTCTATGAAGGCAAAGAATACTCAAGTCGCCGTTCTCTCAGCGTGAGAGCCCAGTTTCACGATCTACTGCTGAGCAAGTTGTAAATACTGTTCAACATAGAACCAGGCTGGCAGATCACAAATTCGCTCTAGAGCAAATAGAAATACTCAGGTCATGATCTCATCAGAAAATCCACAAGGTACATTATAGTAGACAAGTAAGAACACGGGATCAGAACTTTGCGCAAGAAATCCTGAGTATACCAAATTTAGAGCGCATTCGTGATCAAATGCAAAGGGGCAATACGAAGAAATCCTGGAAATAAGAGGAGAGGAGCGTGATAAACTAGCAATCGACAGCAAAGTAGCAGGGAATTATAGGGAAGAAATTTGAATAGAGACAGTGTGGAATAAGGTCAAGT